CCCCGTGGCAGATGACTGACCGGCTCGCAGAGTGGACTGGTGCATAGAAGAGGGAAGTAAGGATGAAATATAATGTGAAGACCCCGGATCCCACGACATTCAGTAGGAATCCTCCACTCTAAACAACCTGACGCGCACTCAAACTATCACAGGGAACGAAAAACTGTGATTCGGAAACTTGCTAATTGGCGCTATAATTCGGCACTCATTTCAAAACAGGGTAAAGTTGCACAGGCTTCTTAATGTGCCTGTTATGACACTCGCATTCAACTGGAATGTTTAGCCCTGTCAGCCACTGCATCCGATCTTGTCTTCGTCCTTGACTGTCATGACACCAAGCTCGGGTCGCCGATGCTCCGCAAGTCTACTCTTACGAGAAACTAATCCCCGCGCAATTCACCGTGCTTGCAGCCACCTTGTTTTGGTGCACCTTATGGACATCTTCCTTGGCGACGGCTGAAATGCCGCCGCGTTCTTTGAAGTCCAAAATATGTCTTTTTTCAATCTATAGGGGCAGGCTTTTCTTGCAGGGGACGTCTCTCCAGGTACTTTGTTCTTATTTTGACAGCACGCGCATGCTCCTGGCAGATCTGAATCCATGGCGCTCATAGCAACTAAAATAGATTTGCGAGGGCCATTCGTGCCAAGGTTTCTTATTGTTATGAGAAAGCACCAGATAGGAAGGCAATGTTTTGTTTAAGAACAGTTCGAATAAAAGGATTGTGATTGAAATAGTTCTTGTTGTCAGAAAATCATGTTTATCAGACAGTCCTAGATAGAATTAACGCAACCCCTGCATTTTGTTGCAGCTCTAGTTACTACGGAATGTCGCGGGTATGGATTGCACGATGGAGGTGGAATGTTGTTGTATATACATCAAGACACCTTAATTCGTAAAACGCCAGGTGTTAGTGGGTCCGAAGATAGTCTGTTAGCTCTTCTTTGCAAATCCTGTCGCTTAGGACTTTGTCCGTGAGTATGATGGTTACTTTCTCGTTACTGGCAGCGACCATAGTCCTAAACTGTTACACAACAGTTCGACCGCCGCACCCGACGATTTACACCGCGTGCTTCAGCAAGTTGGAGGGAATCTCGTTGATTTACTTG